TCTTATAGCTATAGAGCTAGCAGGAATCCTTTTGAACGAGTTTATAGACAAGAGTTAATATAATATTCTTCTTGCGGTCTATAAGCCTAGCTATTAAGGTCCGTAACTTTACTAGATAGCTATTACCTATATAGTATATATATTACTTTATTATATATTACTTTTCCTATATAGTAAATATAGATAGTACTATAAAATAACCTTATAGGATACCCGTTATATCTATTAATAGTTCCGTTTAAAGTAGTGGCCCTTTTATTAGTTCCGTTTATATACCTGTAATTATAAGAAATCTTTTCTCTTTTGGGCTTGCCGGCTCTTTTAGTAATATATTATAGATACTTTTATTACCTATAAGATTATATCCCTTAATTAGCTTTATTTATATTAAGACAGGATCTGTATAGATATTTATAATAGTTTAGTAGATATCTTAATCTATAAAGATATCTTACCGGCTAATCTAGGCTATTAATTTATTCTCTCTTCTTCTTTTATAGACGGGAATTAGTTTATATAATAGCTTTTCTAGGACTTAATAACTATTATTTATTATTTTAAAAAGCCTATCTTTTTTATTACTTTTATAATAAACCCGTAATAGCCAGAGATTATCCAGGAGCTAGGTAACTTATAACTTATAGACCGGCTAGATCTAATTACTTATATATTTTAATTTAAAATTTATAAGCTTTTTATAGACCTAAAAAACCATATTTTCGAATAATATATAAGTTATATTTATATAATTAAGTACTAGAAATAAGGGCTTCTATATTTATATTTACTCTTATTTCTATAGGTATCCGAAAAGTTTAATATACCTGAGTATATAAACGAGGTTATATATACTAAGCTACCGGATCTATTATAGGATCCTATAGGCAAGCTTCTGGCCTTAGTTACGGGTAATATAACCTATAGTCTATATAGGAAAAACTATATATAGGCCCTATATATAGTTCGTAAAGAAGCCTATAGCCTATTAATATACTTTAAGAGGTTCCCGAAGGCTTTTATAGACCGTACCGTAATTAATAAGAATAGCTATCCCGAGTATTACTACTGGAATAATAAGCAAATATTTATAGTTTATAAACTAGGCTTTCTAGGCTAGGAAGTCGTCTGTAATAATTACTAGGTTATTTTATATAACCCGTATCTTTTTTAAAAGTTCTATTTATATATTAATATTAAGATTTATATATTTATATAAGTAATTAAGTATATTTATAAGTATATATATAAAGGAGTAGACTATATTATAGTTATAGTTATAGCTATAAATAATAAGATTACCTAATATATATATATCCGTTATATAAGTCTATATAAAGCTATTTAGTAGCTATTCGAATTTTCTATATATTAGGAGTTCTTTCCTATTTAGTATCTTATAGTTTATTTTAAGAAAGAGTAAATAGTTTACTTTTCGGATAATATCTCTCTTATAGCTCTGGCTATAAAAATTATAAATACCTATTTAATACTAATAGCTTTCTTTAAGTATAATACTATATATAAAGATAGCTAGAAGTATTTATATTCCGAGTTTCCGGCCGAGTTTATATAGGTTTTAAAGACCCGGAAATAGAAATATTACTAGCAGGATAAGGGCAAGCGGATCGGCTATATATATTACTATAGTCCTATTTTGGGTAAGTAATACTACTTATGGCTCTTACTTATAGTTATTTATAGCCTATAATTCTTTACGGATCTATATTTGGTTAAGGGCATCTATTACCTAATATATTAGGCTATCTGTATTATTTATAGCTTAGTAGAGAATAACTAGAAATAGTACTAGTATTTTAATAAGGCTATTCTATTTATATCTATAGGTAGTTTACGGATATTATTTTTAACTAGCTTTTACTAGTAGCTAATTACAGACTTATTAGTAATCTAGAACTAGTATAAGTACTATTTCTGTAATAATCTCTAGTATTAGCTTACCTATAATAGTAGTTTCCTATTTCTGCTTCTTAACCCGTATTATAATTATGGCCTCTTCTTGCTTATATATAGGCTTACGGACTAGTAGTAATCGTTTACGGACTACGGGCTCCTGTTTTTTGTCTGGAATTAGACTAGTAGATACCGTTTCTTATCTATATTATATACTCTCGAGAATTAGGTATTACTTATAGTTATAATATAAGCCTAGCTTAATCCTAATTAGTAATTATATTTTATAGAGATTATTATAGCTATTAAATCAGATCTATAAATAGCCTACTTCTACTTATAAGAGCCAGGAAATATAGGTAAGACATTCTTATATAAGGCATTTTACTATTACTTTTATAGATAGGAGCAAATAGTTCTTTATATAGTATTTACGGGTATTATGGCTCTCTTACTACTAAATGAATATATGTCTTATTCCTAGTTTAAGATTCTAATTAAGCTTTATAAATCGTCTATAAGTTCTATTATAAAGTAGAGTACTCTTAGATAGATCCTCTAATTTACGGATCTTATTATCTGGAATAAGATACTAATATAGTATAAGTACTGCTTTAAGGTTATTTACCGGCTTTTAGTAGATTTATAGTCTATAGTAGATAATATTCTCTTTAGAAAAATACCTATAATTCTTAATAGGAACTTTATCCAGATTCTTCTAGTTATATTATATAGTTTATAGGCTAATATTATTACTATATATCTTTAATAATTATTTATTTAGCTATAGCTCAAGTAGCTCTGTTTATAGACTAATATACGGGTCTATAAGAGTAAGAATAGCCAGGAGTTTATTTACTAGATTAGTAAATTACTTAATAACCCAGACCCTAATATAATAGTAGTAATTCCGGACTATATAAACTAGCTAGTATTAATTACGGATCTAATTAACTATATTTACCTCCCAGATCTTCTTTTTTGGGCTACTACGGATCCGTTAATTTTCTATAGGTAATATCTCTTAACTATATTAAATACTATAGTCTCGGAGCTTAATACCTATATCCTTAAATATTTATTAGACTAATTATAAATATACTAATTAGTAGATTCCCTAAATATAGATAAGTCTTCGGATAATAACTTATATAAGCTACCTATAGAATAGCTATAAAGTATTAATCTTCCTTTCTTATTACTATCTTAGCTTACTTTTAAGATTAGGGCTCCGGTATTACTTCTATAGAACCTATATTTATAAGAAGATTTATATAATAGAATCCGGATAATAGTTATAAGCTTATAGATATATTATATTAAGGCCTGCTTATTTAGAAGAAATTTTAATAGCTAGTTATAGGTAATTCTATAGATTAAGCTATCTGCTATAAATACTAGCCTAGAAATTGCCCTTTTCCGGAAGCAGTTTCTGGTCTATTTATACTTTATAATAACTATTAATAAGTTATAAGATTAGTTCTTTTATACTATTAGTTTAGACCTATAAATACCTATATTTGCTTATAAATAGTTTTATATAGGGATTTCCCGTATATTATCTATAAAAGGCTTAAGTATTCTTCTATTATATAAGAACCTATCTAGAATACTTAATATAACTTATCCTGAGATCTTAGCTAATTTACTTTAGTACTTTATTTCTTATAAGTACCTTATAGATACCAGGTAGTCTTACGGGTCGAATTAAGGGATTTGGGAGTCTATAACTATTTGTAACTACCTATAAGTATCCATATCTATCTATAAGTAACTTGTAATTATTACTTTAAATATTTTAGGGCTTAAATAGACCGAGAATACTATACTATTAAGTATTAAAAGTATATACCTCTTCTAGATAATTCTTTATAGGATTTATAACTTTCCTCCTTCCTCTCTCTCTCTCCCTCTCTCCTTCTCTTTTCTCTCTTTCCTTTATTTCTCTCTATTCTCTAATACCGGTACTAAATAATTTGTTCCCTCCTTTTCTTTTAGTACCTCCGCTTCCTCTTTATAAAGAGCTACTAGCTTCCTATAAAGCTTAGTAAAATGGTATATCCTTTAAGAGAGAGTAAGTAGGTAGCAGCGGCAGGCGGCGGTAGTATAACAGGCTATTTATATATTAGTTACGGTCTATAGTAATCCGTAACGGATATATATATATAAAGATAGGTTACTAGAAGTAACCTGGTTACCTATATAACTATTAGTAATAACCCGGGAAAGCAAGAAAGGGTTAGCGGGAGCGGGGCCAGTAGAAGTAATAGTAGTAGTAGTAATAGTAGTAGTAGTAATAGTAGTAGCGGCAGTAATAGTAGTAATAGTAGTAGTACCTGGAAGTATCTATTAAATTAGTTATGGTCCGTAAAATATTATATAAAAGTATTTACGGAAGAAGTAGCAGGTATCCTTATTACTATAATAATAGTTAGTATAGCTTCTACTAAAAAAACCAGCTATAACCATATATACCGTCCATATACCCGACCCGCTAGTATAATATATATACCCGGCGGTATAAACTTGACTAACGAATTAGCCAAGCTTAGCCTCCAGGTTAGTAGGCCGGGCGGGGTTGGTAGTGCGGCCGGGCCGCAAGACAGGTATACGGCGGGCGGCGAGGAGGGAGAGGGAGGCCATAGTACGGGGGCGGGGCGGGAGGGCAGGCAGGGCGGAAGGGGCGGGCGGCGGCGGCAGGCCAGTAGCAAAGCTTACTGCCATAGTAGTAGTAATAGTAGTAGTAGCGGCGGCGGTAGCAGATAGTAGAGAAGACATTCTACGGACCGTAAGAAGCGTTACAGGCCAGGGGCAGGCCCGTAGCGGGTATGGGGGTTGACTTACGTATACGTATATATTTATTAAAAGAAAGAAGCTTTGGAATTCGAAATTAAAACCTACCTTATTTAGCTTACCTGGAGAATTTTTAGCCTTTAAAAAGTGAATTTTCAAAGTAAATTTAAAGTTAGTAAAGCTGATATCCCTTAAATAAGTGCCTGAGGTATCCAATTAATCTCGAATCGAGATCAGGGCCGCTTCGCTAAAATTAAAGCCTGGCGGCCCTACGCAAGCTTCGGGGCCAGTCTTTAATTTTGCCCTGATCTCGTTGATCAACACCACCCCAACTTCATCGCGACAGTAACACTACTTCCCAAGACACAACCTCACACAGATCTCAAGATGGATTCCCTTCGCAGTGCTCTCCAACCTATCACGCACAGCCTCCCCGCTCCCATCCACGACCTCGGCGTCTCTATCCTCGGCGAGACATGCTACAAAACCCTCCTCCTCGATATCGACCTCTCCTCCACCGACTGCATCAAGCTTGCCATCTCCAAAGGCCTCGGAATTGGCATCATCGCCGCTTCCACCATCGTCAAGGTTCCGCAAATCCTCAAGCTCATCAACTCTAAGTCCTCCGAGGGCATCTCCTTCCTCTCCTACCTCCTCGAGACCTCCGCGTACCTGATCTCACTAGCATATAATGTGCGCCAAGGATTCCCGTTCAGTACTTATGGCGAGACGAGCTTGATTATGGCGCAGAACGTAGTGATTGCGGTGTTGGTTCTGCATTACAGCGGCAAGCAGAGCGCGGCTGCGTTGTTCGTTGCGGGGCTGGCAACGAGTGCGGCAACGCTGTTTACGGAGGGGGTTCTGGATATGAAAACGCTCTCGTATCTCCAGGCTGGTGCGGGCGTGTTGGGTATTGCGAGCAAGGTCCCGCAGATTGCGGCTGTTTGGCAGGAGGGCGGAACTGGACAGTTGAGCGCGTTCGCGGTTTGCCTGCCCCTCTCTCCTGATTGAAAGTTTGGGCTAATGGCGGATCTACAGGTGTTCAACTACCTCGCTGGTTCCCTCTCGAGAATCTTCACAACGTTGCAGGAGGTTAATGATAAATTGATCTTGTACGGATTTATTGCGGGCTTTGCGCTCAATGCGGTCTTGGCTGCGCAGATGGTATACTATTGGAATGCGCCGACGAAGAAGTCTACGAAGGGAAAGCAGAAGGAGAAGGTTGTTGTTCCGGCTCCCACCGGCTCTACGACTGCTACGCCGAAGGGAAAGAATCCAACGACCCGCAGACGTGGATAGTTGGACTTCCGCGTGGTAGACTTCAGTTTTTTGTTTCTCGACTCCTGCAGTATGCGGTCGCAGTCTGGTAATTTAATGCGCATTCAAGGATGCCTCCGTCCCAGCCCAGTGATGAATGATACTCGATTCCGCACAGAATTCTGTGGTCCGGTGGATGCTCAGCCTGTTCCGCAATTGGCTGGAGTCAGTCTGAAATGTGTGACAAGGCACCTACATTTCTTTTTCTGCTTCTTGCCAATAACTTATGATTTGCTGTCCTCTTCTGGAGAACGACTCGAATTCGAGCATTCCCGAGGAATTCCTACAAAGACGACACCAAAATGGATCACCAGGGCTTCTTCAGAAGAAGCCAGGCCGATTTCCTCGAGACCTGGCGGCAGTCTCTGCAGAGTATTCCTTCCCAGTCTGACCCTTGCTCTTACCTCCAGTTCCTGCATTTCGAAGTATGTGTTTTATTCTTCAAGGCGCTCGAGTCCGTTGACAATAAACCGGGACCCCCGCTGATTCTATTCAATGGGCTAGACAGAGTACTAAAGCTACCGCCGATGCCCAATCTCATATTTTGTGAGCTGCAATAAAAAAATCATTATTGATGAATGTATCAACTAGCTACATTCAAAGACTTGGCCCTGCTAGGCCCCACACAAGCAAGCAGAGAGGTGGCTTCGGTGGTTTCAATTCCAAGTCCTTACCATTCAAGCCGGATACTATTCGAACCTTAGATGAGGCTATGAATCTGCACCTTGTGGGTGGCACTATGAATGAATGTGCTGAAACAACAAAGGTTCAGGATCCCACTGGCAATACCTATCCGCCTATCCCATTTTCCCCGACACCCTTTAGCGTTCTAATTCGTTTCGTAGCAATTTAGGTCGAGAGCCTACCCATCGGAATGTTGGTTCCGTTTATTCGTTGTTTTGGTCCTGCCACTTCTGTACCGACTACCATACTTCACAATCTCATTCCCGAAGAGTCCATGAGAGGCCGGAAGACCCAGCTCTACAAGGCCTCAGTCTCCATCCAATGTTCGTTCCGACTCTGGTCATCGAGCTTTTGTGCAGTGAAGCTATTCAAATTTTAGACACTATTTATATCAACACAGTGCGATTATATATAATCGCAGGCTTGAGTGCTGGTGATCGATATAAAGCTGAATGTCGTAAGAAAGGCCACTAGACCCTGAAGAGCAGGCAGAAAGGTCCCTCGAATACGAGCAACGTGCATTCATTCTCCTGGAAAAGATAGAAACTGTTATCAAGCTAGCCACCACGCTATCGAACTGGATGCCCGACTTCGAGACATTTCAAATGGGTTCTGGTCTACGGCCACGCTTTGAAACAGGAGGAGAAATCGTTCAAAACAGGCTCCAGTATCTGGTAAACATGCTGGAGCTACAGATATTTCGAGCACACGAAAGGACACACTGAACTCAATAGGCGTGGTGTAAGTCTTCCAGCAACTCTTCTCTCCAATCTTTCATGGCTCTTCAGATCAAGTTGAGTTTAAGATCCATAGCTTCAACTCAGGAACACTTCAGTAGGAAATAAAATCAGTACAGCAATGTCCCAAGAGAGAAGGAACATCGCTAGGGAAGCCAAGCGTGACTCCTCTGCCATGAAAGCCACCGCTGTCCTCACGATGTTTTTCCTACCGAGCACATGTTTCGCCGTAAGCTCCACCTCCCCCTTCCCCACTCTAAAACCACTTATATACAAACTAAATTGCAGGCCTCTATCGCAATGCCACTCTCGCAATTGGAGCTCAACCTCTATTGTGACGGGCAAATCCTGGGTCTACTGGGCTGTGACCATCCTAGCTACGATTCTGGAACTTGTGGTGTGGATACTTTGGCATGTGTTTGATGAGTGGAAGTCTGATCCTGAGGAAGGGGACTGTTTTCCGCGACCTTTGTGCTTGGATTCGCTCTGACCCAGTTCAGAAAGACAAAAAGACGAATCTTGAAAGCGGAAGGAATTCATGAGCCTTCTTGAAGGTTGTGTGTGTATTGGACCAAATACAAAAAATTGCCAAGCCAGTATAAAAGTCTTGTGCAATTTCAAGCGGCCAGTGCCTGGTGGGCATTGGCCTTTCGGACCGAAACAAACTTGGCCGGAATCGGAATGTTGCGAGATGAGCCGTGGCGGAAGGGCCTTTGTTTAATGTACAAACCCGAGAATCAGCTTGTAGTTATTATGACAACACAACAATGTTATGGTTTTATGCATGGTGCATTAGATTGGGTGTTGCCTTTGGTAAATAGTTAGTGCGTAATGACGCGTAGGGAGGTAATTAACTTAGTAATAAAAAATCTAGGAGCAAATATCTTTTTAATAAGAGTGGTTTAGAGTCTAAAGTATTAAAATATATAATAGCTTGGGTACAAAGAGTCTTGCCTTTATAATTTTTGCGCTTCGTGCTCTGCTAAATAATAGTAATCTCTTCTAACTCCTCATTTTCAAACCATGTACTAAACGTATGGCCTATACGAGACATAGGTTTCTTGCAAAACATGCCAACTCTCACCCATTTCTCTTCATTGAACGGTACTACCAACAATCCTCCTTCAACCGTCAACAGAATACACCAAAGAGACCAGGGAGCGAATCTAGCGGCAAGGTGCTCGACTGTGTCATCTAGACGAATCGAGGCAACCTCATCTTCAAGCACGTCAACCATGTATTGAAAATCATCAATGACATATCCTGTACCGAGGGTTCCCAATTTCCTAATCCTAGCCCGGAGCTTTAACTTGCCACTTTTCACCTGTCCAAATAGAGCTGTGCCTGCAAGTTCCACTGAACATTCATCAATGTAGCAGACCATACCCTCCTCTGTAGGTAGATTGCGGGGTGGTTCCCATGATACTGAGCCTTGCTACCCAGCCCATGACCAGCTAGGTGCCGTATACCGATTTGATTGCGCCCAGTCCAATAAAGAAACTTCTTCATGTTTTTGTACAATCCAAAGCAGCTCTTGAACGAAATTCGATTTGTCTGATTCGGAGTACCAAAGCCCTGCTTTATACTCCTCTCTTAGGAAGCGGGCGAATTTTGAGGCAATACCAGATATTCCGGGAAGCATATCGTCTTTGTTTGTTAAAGAGCGGCTACTGTAGTTCTGAATAAGAACCTGCCAGTTGAAGCGGATATCGTGCATCGTTTTGGCATCGAGCTTTTGGTCCAGTGAAGAAAAAGGCTCCCTGCTTGATAGAAGCATAGGTAGAATTTGAACTTTGATTAAGTCCTTTCTAACATCGCCCGCTTTCTTCGCACTGTTTCCAAGCTCTGCCTGGGCAGAATTGCACTGCCACATCAATTGCGTTGCGCTGTATATGAGCTTTCGTGGCGGAAGGAGAAACTCTTGTAGTGTCCAACCTCTGTGGTTGATCGGCTGATCTCCAGTAAAGTAAGGGTCCGTGGGCTCAATGATTAATTCGCCCCGTTTCCCATCTGGACAAGAGAATGGTAATTTGAAGGACTTCCACTCTTGAACTCCCCACGGATACGATCTCCGCTGCAGAAAACCTTGCTTGCAATGTTTTGCACTGGCTGCTACGATCGTGATGGCTGCCATTTCATAGATCTCGCCCATGCGAGTGAGCTCGACGTCTCTGTCGGCGGCTGAATCTTGAATTATGCAGATTGCATCAATCCAAATGTAGCGAAGTCCCAGCTGTCGAGTGACGAAGATGGCTTCCCGGATTGTTTTGGCCAATAATGAGGTGGGGATATTGTTGGAAAGAGTTTCAACATTCGATTTGCTAGTGATAAGCGGCTGTGGTTCTCCTCCCCAGCAGTAGCTCAATGCTGCGTAATTCCCTAAGATACTATTTGTTGTTATCAGCCTTTGCTGATCAGATGTGGATGTCCCAACATCAATGACGCGAGTGGGCAGTTGCACAAGGTTCATTGGAGGACAGCTGTCGTGTGAACTGTGGCAAGTGCTTAACCACTCTTTCGTCATTTGGAAGCTGCTTTCAGAAGCTATGTCGTAAATCCGTGGCCGACGGTTGATATATCTTGCAGTTGGATTACCTGGAGCCCATTAGTTGAAAATTTATAAAAATGACTCTGAATGGCAGATTACCGATATTCGCGGATACATTGAACTCTTCTATACTTTCCCACTGAAATATTCCCTCCTCTTGCACACGAACCTCTACCCTCAAAAGTTCTGATGCAGCAAAGTTTGCCATCCTGTCACCTATAAGCTCTCCCATCCTATTTGTCCTTGCATCGCGCAGTTCAAACTCCATGTTCCTGGCAAGAACTTCATCTGTGAGTTCGCTAATTTTCATTGGGCCATCTCTCATGTATTGGATTTTAGAAGAAATCATGATGCAGAGTTCACAGCCTTTCCGGGCCTTCTTCAACAGATACTTCCAAGTTCTTCGGAATGGAACACAGCCGTCTGTTATCAATTTGTTTGCGCGTTTCTTCTTATATAGTAAACGGAAACATTTCCAACAAAGCGTTGAAGTCGCTGCTGGTTCCGGTTCAGGAGCAGGTTCAGATTCAGTCGGTAGACTGTCTTCGACGAATTCGCTAGCCATAGTGAGGAGGCTATTGGAGATTTGCTCCTGTGTGGATTGAGACTAACAAAGTAGCTGTATGAACTTAATGATAGAGCGGGTTCAAATGCCAAAGCAAAATTTGCTTCCTTGGTTTGGTGTCTAAAATTGAACAATTCTCCTCGGTTGCGCCTTTTAAAGCCTGGATCATGAGACATTATTATAAAGCCACTCAAGGCTTTATTTCTCGCACGGTACCCCGGATTTTGTAGTGGCTCGAACCGACACAGCCTCAGCCTCAGCCTCACCAACCTTCGTCTTCGGCTTCGACGAGAAGCAACGCTCTCAAGCATGCTTCACAATAGCAGACATTGCATGTATCTATCAAAATGGTATTCCTCTATCCCGGCCCACTTCGTACTCTGGAACCTGCTAACTCTGAACAGGCCAGGCTAGTTGGAGGTGGCAACCAGAGTACCAGGCTTCGCCCAGCACCCCGAATATATCCGCTGTCAACTTCCCCGATACCGCCTCTGCAGACCTAGAAAATGGCTCATATAATCAAGCTCCACCGCCCCTCTTAGGTGCCCCCGAAGACGATGTACTGTTGGTTAAATACATGGGTAACGCACCCAACCAAGTTTTCTACATACAGCATCGGCGATGGAATATCGGCTGTCAAAGATCTGAGGAAGAGAGCTGCATGGGTATTAAACATATTGGATGACACACACTTGAAATTCGGGTGGCGACGTACGGGGAGCCCTAGGGTGAGCGGGAGTCGAACTGGGTCCTAAGGCCCTGGCACGGAGAGTTTGCCTGAAGAGATCGAAAGATACATTTTTAGGGGGTCCTCTACTTGGTTCCCCTGAACACAGTCATGTAGAGTTGACAATTTTTCGCATAGCAAAACCGAAATGATAAGAAGAATATGATTGGTCACTGGAAAGAGGAGCAGCAACGTGTCTGAGCCACCTTAGCTGACAGTGAGATGAGGGTGAGTACGGCCGACTCATGAGGGTGAGTAGCGGCCGACTCATGAGGTTGGGTTTGAGCAAGGCTCTGATTTACTCAGGCTCGTTATGTTACCTAACGTACCTGATATAAGGCAATATTTTGAGCCCTTTTCCGTGGGCTTCGCCAGGTGGGACGCAGATGCGAAGAATATTGAATCAGACTCAGGAAAATAAAATAGACTTTACAGCTTATAATAAAGTCTACAAATGTTAAAGTTCCTAGCCTTCCGCACCAGCCCCCATTAACAATGCACGTGACATCAGCAGCCCACAGAGCTTGCAGCCTATGAAACCGATGAAACCCGGTTTGTCACAATGAATGCATTTCCGCTCACTTTCAGCCTTACTTTCAATCCTTTCGATCTTTCCCAAAACCTCCTTCTTTCATCTGCCAAAGACGACCTCTCCACCACGATGCGACAACCACAACACCACCCATAGCAACCCTTTCGTTGTACCCCCATACATCCTGCACTGTACCCCGCACTCCCCTCCTCATTTTCTTTGTACCCTGGACTCATATTTGACGGGGACGGGCAGAAAACGAAACGACGCAAACAAACCCGACAAACAGAGCCGACGTCTCATCTTCAGTGTCAGAACTCAGCCCCGAACCTTGCCACCGGAGTCCTGCATTGGTCCGCTCAGGATCGGTACAAGAGACGTCGCCACGCTCTCAATGTTCTGACTCTGTTCTGAGCAAGGGAAATTGATACATCTGTGACTTGTCACTCGCCACCGGCTCACACAATGGCTAAGCTGAAGGATATCGGCATGGGGAAGGGAAGAGGATCAGAGATCACACAGGAGCAGGAGCAGGCTAAGGTTTTTGAAATGCTGTCGCACGACGAGGGGTGGTGGCATGCCGTGAAGACGAACCCGAAGGCTCTGCTATGGTGTAAGTTCCGATCTATTCGAGACACTTGTCAAGCATTATTGATGTCGATCTACAGGCTCTTACTCGTTATTTAGCTGTATCATGTGGGGTTATGATGGCCTTGCAAGCTCTGTTTGTCCCTTTCCTTTCTTCTTTGGCTAGTCTGCTAATCTTATCAGATCGTCCTCGCTGTCTTGAAGTTCCGGGAGGACTATGGGGTGTATGCATATGTCAAGGACAAGAAAGTGTATGACTGGGTCATTCCTGCTATCTGGCAACTCGCACTTGGGGCCGGCAGTCTCATCGGCTTGCTTCTTGGTGGAATAGGAGCTGGTTTCATTGCTAAGAAGTATGGTCGACAGCTTTGCATGGCTCTCTCGTACGGTAAGTTTCAACTCCATTCCCCTCACCAGATGTTAAGTTGTTGCCAGTGTTCACCATCATCGGTGTTTTCCTCCAATGGTTCTCTGCCGCGTCAACAGGCCACCCTGGAGATCTCCCCATGCTCTTTGGCGGCAAGGTTCTCACAGGCATCCCTCTCGGCGTATTCATCACCATTGCACCTACCTACTGCTCTGAGATTGCACCCTTGCCCCTCCGTGGAGCCACCACCGCTGCAGTTAACTGGAGCATCGTTCTCGGTCAGTGCCTCGCTTACGTCGTCATCCGTCAAACTCAGGGCCTCGAGAACGCCAACGCCTACCGGATCTTGTTCGCCGTGCAATGGATCTTTGCTGCCATTGGCCTTGGAGTCCTCTTCTTCTTCCCAGAATCTCCGTATTTCCTCGTTGCGCAAGGTAGGATTGAGAAGGCGAAGAATAATGCACGGAGACTTTACAACAAGAATTTCGATGTCGATGGACTGATTTCGAGCATTGAGCTACTGCTGAAGCACGAGGCGGAGGATCAGAAGAGCGCTTCGTATAGAGAGTGCTTTCGAGGTACCAACACATTGCGCACTCTCATTGCCATGAGTACGTTCTTCATCCAGTCGATTTGTGGTATCGGATGGATCATTGGGTACATGGCCTACTTCCTGCAGCTCGGAGGTCTCGGGGTTGGTGCTGCCTTCACAGTAACTATGATCCTCTCGTTCATCATGCTGATCGGCAACATGGTTGGCTGGGTCTTCGTGGAGCGGTTTGGACGACGCGGCACTGCGTTGTACGGTAATTCACTCTCCCAAAGGTTCGCACCAGGGCGTTCATCTAACTAAATCTATCGCAGGCTCAGTCACCCTCTCAGTCAGTCTCCTCGCCATTGGCATCACTGGTTGCTTTAAATCCTCCAACGCAATCTGGGTCCAAGTCGTCTTTATGGCTATCTGGTCATTCACGTATCAATCTACCATCGGCTCCGTTGCTTGGCCTATCGTCACTGAAGTCTCAAAATCCACACTCCGTGGGCATACGCAATCATTGGCAACCATTACAACCGGCATCGTGGGCGCTGTCTCCGGAGTTTGCTTGCCGTTCCTTGTTAATCCTGATCAGGGGAATATGGGAGGGAAAGTGGGTTTCATCTACGGCACGTTGCTTGGTCTGAGTTGCATTGGGGTCTGGTGGTACTACCCTGAGACGAAAGGCAGGACGTTCGCGGAGATCGATCGCTTGTTTGAGATGGGTATTCGGCCGAGAGATTTCGAGAAGACGAGACTGGACGGTTGATTAAAGGTGCATATACAGGAGTCTGGCGTTTTCATCTGAAGGAACACACATGAGATGGCTGTATTAGGGAAGTTTATTTTTCCAGATGAGTCAGTAAAAATCGAGGTCTAAATACATGATACGGAACATTCAAGTCTTCTCCCTTCCACATGTCCCACGAGCCACGGAATATTCAAGCTCATCCCCTGTTAACCGTCCAGCAAGACACTTGGACACTCACATCCCGTTCCTCCCGAACAACCCCCAAGCTTCTTGAACAATCGAGTCAGCCATTAGGTATCCATTTAGCAGACCACGGGACAAGATTTGAAGGTTCCGCATCGGTTGGGCAATTGCATCGGTGAAGAAGCGGGAGTTGGAGTCAGTCAGCCTTGCCTGTGCAGCGTTCCTGGCAGGCAGCAAGTAAATGCAAGGCACCAGTTTGGGGAAACACCCCTATTGGGCAACCTTAAATCCTTTGCTCCAGGTGGCATTCTGCTGAATAAACATATCGATTTCGCTTCCACAGAAGTCCCAACATGATCCAGGACTCTCCAATATCGACGGGCGAGGCATTGAATGTTCCCCCTTTTTGTGGGTCCGCGGATATCACGTGACGGTCCCTATTTGTGAGTCCCTCCAGACTGTGCCTTCTATAAAGTTTGTGACGTCATCCTCAGACCCAAAGAAGTGTAAATTCAGAACTTCTCTTTGATTGCTGTGAAACACACACGGCAAGTCGCGTTAATGAGAGCAAGCCAAGGCAGAATCTGGGCTGAGGCGCAGGCGACCTTAAAATTAGGCACCAGGGGAACCCCTTCCCGCTCGCTTGCATATAAACTTCTACCCCACGTTCTGTCCCTCCATCGTCCAACACCTTCAACCCACAGAACATCCAACCTCAAGCTCATTCATTCAATACAATACAACACAATACACACCAAACACCGGCCAGAACAAGCAACACCGTCACAATGAGCTACCTCTGTGGGTGCTACTACCACATAGCCTCCACAGAATACCACATCCGCATTCAAAAACACTACCTCCCGCTCCTCTCCAGCACAGTCCACAGCACCATTCTATCGACAACCTCGCGCACCAAGCTCACCCAAAAATTCACAAACCCTTCTACCACAACCGCAATCAAGGAATGCATCTACAACTTCCCTCTTTACGACGGCGTCAGCGTTGTCAGCTTCACATGCCGCATCGGCAAGCGGGTCCTCCGTGGTCTGGTGAAGGAAAAGCAGACCGCGAAAAAAATATTCGATGAAGCAGTCAGCAAAGGCGAGACGGCAGGCTTACTCGAACAGACGGACGAGGCAGCGGATGTGTTTAGCACGAAGCTGGGCAATATTCCGGCTGGCGGGAGCGTGATTGTGGAGATTGAGTATGTGGGCGAGTTGAAGCATCACGAGACTGAAGGCATCCGGTTTACGATTCCGACCAAGATTGCGCCGCGGTACGGCGCTGGTCCTGCTGCGATGGGAGGTGTCCAAGCGCACGAGGATGGAGGGATTAAGATTACGGTGGATGTTAACATGCAGGAAAGGAGCTTCATTAAGGGTGTTCAGAGCCCGAGCCACCCGATTGCTGTCTCGATGGGAACAGTCTCTACGGCTTCGACTGCTGATCCGGAGATGAGCAAGGCATCCGCTACCTTGTCACTGGGAAGCGCTGCGCTGGAGAAAGACTTCGTCTTGATTGTTCAGTCGAAGGATGTCGGAATCCCGAAAGCTATCCTGGAAACTCACCCCACAATCCGCAATCACCGTGCCTTAATGGCAACCCTCGTCCCCAAATTCTCGCTCCCACCCTCGCGACCAGAGATCGTCTTCGTGGCAGACAGAAGCGGCAGCATGCAACATAACATTCCGATGTTAGTCTCTGCCATGAAAGTCTTCCTGAAATCCATACCTGTGGGCGTGAAGTTCAACATCTGCTCTTTCGGCTCATCGCACACGTTCTTGTGGCCAAAGAGCCAGAGCTACTCTCAGGAAACGCTTCAGCAAGCATCTAATCACTTGCTCACCTTTGATGCTGATTATGGCGGAACGGAGACTTTCGGTGCCATCCAGGCTACAATTGGCAATCGATTCACAGATCTCCCTCTCGAGATCATCCTCCTGACTGATGGAGATATCTGGCAACAAGAAGCCCTCTTTCAGTACGTCAATGAACAAGTTGAGCAGACGAATGGCAATATCCGGATCTTCCCCTTGGGCATTGGGAATGGCGTCTCTCATAGTCTCATCGAGGGTCTCGCTCGAGCCGGAAATGGCTTCGCGCAAGCTGTTCAGGATGGTGAGAGACTTGATAATTGCGTTGTTCGCATGCTTCGCGGTGCCTTGTCCCCACATATCACGAACTACACCCTTGAAGTCAAGTACGAGAAAGAAAATGATGACTTTGACCTCATCGACAAGGTCACCGAAGGCATGAAAGTCCTGCTTTCCGAAGACGAGAAGGCAAAGGAAGAGAAGCCAACAATTTCGCTCTTTGACGCCAACGTCAACCCAGAGAAGGAGGACTTGAAGGGACTTCAAGATTCAGCATTCTGGCTGCCTGATATCCCCTTCCCAAAATTGCACCAAGCACCACACAAGATACCCACTCTCTTTGCCTTCTCTCGAACTTCAGTTTACCTCCTCATGTCACCCGAAACCATCCAACGAAATCCTACCGCCGTTATCTTGCGCGCAACATCCACCCACGGCCCCCTCGCTCTCGAAATTCCGATTGAGAATCTTGCCACGCCAGCAGAGACCATTCATCAACTCGCCGCCAAGAAAGCAGTGCAAGACCTGGAGGAAGGTCGGGGGTGGATTTACGATGCCAAGGATCAGAACGGCATGTTGGTCAAGGAGAGATACGCAAGCCGTTTCGACGATTTGGTGCAGAAGGAGGCCGTCAGATTGGGCGAGAAATTCCAGATTGCAGGGAAGTGGTGCAGTTTCGTGGCTGTTGCCGCGAATGATAAGGAGATCGCGGAGAAGGAGGAGAGCATGAGAGAACAGAAGAGTTTGGTGGTTGACGATGATGGGGAGATTCTTGCTGGCGAGTCCACCCTTCTTCTGTTTTCGCTCCCTGTTTGTTTTCAAAAGAAGATGTACTAACTGTTTTGCGATTGCAGATATGGACATGTCAGCTCAACTTGACCTTTACGCTGCTGAAGAAGATGAAGACGAGGAAACCGATGATGGCTTCGCAGTGATCGGTACTCCTTCTTCATCCGCGCCGGCATACTCACCTCCTGCTCCTGCATCGCCCCAACCAAGTGCAAAGCGAAGCTTGAATTTCCGTGGCGGAATGAAACAAGCAAAGGGGACCAATCAGGCCAGGGAAAGTCTGGGATCAAAAGCTCCTGCATCTCAACCCAACCCCATGTTTGCGCTTGCGAGTGCTTCGACCGCCAGCCCGAAGCCGCAAACTTGGGGCATGGGCCCCGCGTTTGGTTCTGGCAACGAGAAGTTCCGAGCACCTGTAGGCGGGAGTCCTGCAGGAGCATTTGGCAAGCCTTTTGGAGGAGCTGGGTTGGTGGCTCGCGACGCTTCAAAATCAGCTGCACAACGGCAACCCCCACAGGCCTCATTTTTCAGCGCATCTGCTCCAAACCCAGCTACGAAGGCGCAACCTTTTGGTGCTGCGGTTCTCCAGTCTAACGTACCCGCACCACCACCTCCACCTATAGCACCGGGTAGCCGCCTCTTTGGGAGTACATCTTCCGCCAGATACTCGATGAACTATTCTCACATCCAGGTGTCGCCTCCTGCTCAGGCATTCGGAAATGCAGCTCCCACGGACCAGTTTTACGGCCGCGCTCCTCCTCAAGCACGGCTGGCAACCGGTCTCGGACCAAGTCACCTCTTCGGCGGCGTTATGAAAGGGACCAACTCAGCAATGACGCCACCACCACCCCCAGCACCAGCTACTTCCGAGAAGTCAGAAGAGTCAACACCCGAAATGAATGCACCATTCATCGCCCATGGCTACGCTCGCCGCGCCACAGGTTCCCCGATGCCTGCTATCGCGGCCCCCGCTGCGGCTGGGAGCGACGTGAAGTCAGCGCCGCGTGCGAGACGTGCAGGGTTTAATACTTTCCTCAAGAAAAAGGAGAAGCGCAGTTCTCTGTCTGCCGCTAGCGAACTTCGGGATTCTGACACTTCTAGCCCCGAGGCTGATCATATGAAACTTACTCTGCCTGCTATCGATTGGTCATCCAAATCCGTGCAGGAGAAAGTTGCACGCGTCATCGAGTTGCAGACTTTCGAGGGTTCGTGGGTCTTCGATGTTGAAGTCTTTTCGATTATGGGCTTGGGAGATGGACAGAGTGAAGGTGTGAAGAGACAGGATGGTGTGGATAAGAATGTCTGGGTTACGTTGCTGGTGGTTAAGTGGTTGGAGATTATGGCGGGTGAGGAGGAGGGGGTTTGGAGCATGGTTGTTGAGAAGGCGAGGGGATGGCTGGAGGGGCAAGCGGAGACGGCATTAGATGCTTTGGAGACTGACGCCGAGAGTGTGGTCAAGGCTTTGTAGGGTTCGTAAGGTGGGAGAATTTGGTGATGTGGGAGGTTTCCTTGGGTTTGGGGAAGGAAAGATACCGATTGCGTGCCTGGAGTTAGAGTTGGATAATGGTATCAGGAACCGGGCCGGGTTAAGGGGATCGGAATAGGGTCGAGATAGGAATGCACGATTTCTCCTCTGCCGCCAGCGGTGCCAATGCATGCCTCAGTGAGATTCGCGTAGAATTCGCAATTAGTTAATAACTTTACCTCTTTCCAGAGAAGTTCCAGGAATTTGATAACATGATTAATACCGCCTATGCCTCAACACTTGTCGATCTCTCAGCCAGCCTCTTTCCCCTCCGCAACATCGCCCCCAGCAAGCTTGTCATTACCCAAGTCTCCTTCCTTGCCTCTGTTTTAACCCCTACGAGAACAACCCCTTCCAACAACACCAAACACCAACACGTAGCAACCCCAAAATAAAATAAATTCGAAGAAACTACCCACAACAATGCCGGCGAATAGTAGATTTAAAATCTTAGCGTTTGGGATTTTCTTTTCAGAGGATAGAGAGGATAGTGAGTTATGAATTAGAATTATCTAAACGGCGCGGGAGAGTATCTTGTCAGAGAGTGCCTTCAGCAGCCTCATTCAGTATCGGTCCATGATCAGCTGAGTCTTCAAGGAGTCCTGTGCCAGAAACCATCCCTTGCCCTGCAGAAAAGCGATCATGCCATCATGCTTACTCAAAGCCGTTGTCCGGCTCGTCGTTTTGAAGGACGCCTCGACAATGTATTCCGTGCCCGTACCAGCTGCATCAATAATCGGCCAGACCTCGATGTACAATTTCAACCCGCTCCAAGTGCCAATCGACCGCTTTGCAAAAACCGGGCCGAAAATGCGCGACACCGCCAACGCGTCAGTACCCCAGTTGTTAAACAGCCAGTTGTCAAATTTGTCAGGGGCATCGTTGATCATGAGTGTTCGAGACCTGCTTGTTCCTGGTAAGTCCATGCCACTGTAGCCGGAGCCCGATGCCGTCTTCTACCGGCTGATGGAGAGTGTCAGTTTCTGGTAGCCCCATTCGATCTGAGCATCATATTTCGTCGTGTCAGAATCGAAACCTTCATTGTTTGCTGTCGTGAGCGCGGCATCGATATCTCCCCCAGTAATCGCGTAGCGCTTCTTATACGTTTCCTCGAAGTCTGCCACACCCTCGATTTTGCGTAAGCGAGGACTCCACCCGGTATTATAGATCTCCTCGGTACTCGTGTCGAGGAACTGAACGTTCATTTTTGTAACTTTTGTTGGCATGGCGAAGGTCGAGAGAACGGTCGGCGTGAGCTTGTGGTCGGATCCGAGGACCATGTCGGGGTCGAGAAGGAGCTTGACTTCGTAGTCAGGAACCATGTTGGACGCGGCCTGCGCCATTGATATAAAGATCACAGTGGCAGTCGCCGTGACGAGAGATGGGAAATGCATGGCGCCTTTTAGCAATACATATCACCAATATTGTGAAGGAGGCTCAGGGGGACGGAAGAGCCGATTTGAAAGAGTATCTGAAGTTCTTGTACCAACAAATGTTGAACTTTCAATGTATCCTGCCTCTAAACTTTGTCCCACAGAAGATTTTTTTCATAGGGGGCTTTCTCTCTTTCCGTCTCGTTGAGGTGTACAGGTTATCCGTACTTCGCCGAATTTAATCTAAACACGTGGGACAAGTGTTGCCCACGTGCTCGAGATATTCGCTTGAATGGTAACGATGATGATCGTGTGCTACTGTTGCCAGCGCCTTCTCGTGAAAATAGGGCTGATCTTTGCCAAGAGGTACATAAAGTGTGTAATCGGACAGTCTCCATGGTCGCCCGCTCTCCCTCGCTGAGCATAAGCGATTTCAGAACGTAACCAAAGACTGGAGATGTCTTTAGCCACAAACCTCAAGCCGTTCACTGCTTTCTGCAACCAGAAACTCTTTCGGGCTATTTCTGCCACATTTCAGCTGATGTGAGGAATTTCAAGCTGAGCGAAGGCGAAAAAATGGCAATAACTAGGAGAAACAGTCGCGGTTCAGAAAAAAAACAAATACAGAGAACACCATGAGTCAACTGTAAGTCCATGGCTGCTGAAATATTTGGATCTACTCCGTCTACACTAGATGCTCCTCTAGGGCTAAATGACGTTGGTTTCTTACCATAGGCTCGCTCCTGCCGTCTAATCAGATTGCTTAGATGTATTAAAACTTACCTCTTTTTATGGCGAGAGTTCTCCGTCAAGGAATATAATCAACGCCATTTAGCATATCGAAGCAACAGCGCGGCTGCCTTTTTTGCCGGAATTGCCAAGCTTTTTGAAAAGCTCACGGGTGACCAATCTGTGGCAGGATTGTTGCGGGGTGATCTACTTTACCACTTATTATGGAAGCCAGTCTCTCCGTGGAAGAAACTAGAAAGGGGGTTGAAGGATGTTCCATCCTGCTGCGGTTATCGGCTAAACAGTGGCATGATAGTAAACACATATTCAGCAACCCGAACAGTGGGAAACAAGGGCTATTCGTTTTGACATCGAATTCCATTTCAACCTTTTTGGGAAGCATTTTCGAAGCCGAGTCAAACGATCTGGTACCCCTATGCCCTTACTCTCACCAGCGGCATCTTGGCAAAATGTGGGAACCCAACAAATTTGTTGATAATTTTCTCATTTTTGACACTTTTGAGTTCAAAGTTTGGACCGAATAGGGCTTGGAGACGTTCAAGTAGATCGAGCTATCGACGCTTTGGATTGAGTAAAAGAGGGGATACCGCTCCACAAGCCCAGCTGCAATGAAGCCTGGCCGCTATTCTCTCGTCATTTCACCTGCTGGAAATCGCGCAAGGGAGTATCGACGTGACGGATTAGTAGAGAAGGACATTCCTTAAATAAGAGGAGAAGAGCATACAATTGATCTTGGGGTTGAGAAACCATACATCTGATATACACAAAACGCAAAGTGAAGGAAGGCTTTGTCTCACCAATTTGTAATTAGCAAATCAGTGACCTCACTTTAAAGTAGCCAGAGCGTTTCCGCAGCCAGTGATGCGTAACCACAAATTCGAAGACTCCGGCGCACTTCACCCCTCGAAACTATCAGCTGAAAACAACGTCGAACAATGACCCTTGACAGTGTCATTGTCACGGAGCCACTTCGGACATTGCAACCTTTCTACCTCTCATCTACCTACACCCCTCCCATCCATCTCCGGAACATACGAAATCGCATGCACCTCTACCGGCGACTGCGTTTGCGGCAGTTGACCCTCCAAAGGACCCTTAATCATCGACTCATGGTAAACTGGAGGCGGAACATGTGCCCCTGTCCCAGCCTGTCCTCTCTCAACCACTTTCCTCCATGACAACACAAGCCAAATAGCCAACGCAGCGCCAAGCACAGCAATACTGCCAATCACGATCCCCGCGATTGCTCCTGGACCCAAAGCGGCCGCCGATGCGGCCGGAGGAGCTGTAGAAGATGGCAATATGCCCGAACTGGACTTGGAGCTTGCTGCCGTTGAGATAACCGTTTCCGTTTCTGTGATTCTAGATACCGAAACCGATATTGTGCCTGTTGATGAGCTGCCCGTAGCAGCGCTCATGCCGGTAGATGTCTTTTGTACCGAGAATGCGGTGAATGCCCCAGCTGAACACGTTGCACTGAGGCCGCAGACAAAGTTGCCACTATTATCGCAGGGAATTGCATAGGTCCAGCTACTGGGGGTTGCTGAGAGAGCGGTATATGGTCAGCTTTTGGACGGTAAGAATGGTTCTAGAGTGCAAGGGAGCTGACCATCTCGGCAGGCCTTTGGGCAGTTTGGAGACTGCCATGTTGGATCTGTGCATGCTCCCCGATACAATGATGAACCTCCTGGCCACCAGCAGAGACCATTTGGCTGGCATATGTCATATTCGTTTGGGTTGCAACAGGCCGAGAAAGTGTCGTTGGTGCAGGGGACATATCTATAATTGACTGCTTTGGAGCCGTCTGGATAATAGCATTGCGTATCTCCAGAAGCTGAATGTACGAGAGCTAGAGACAGAAAGAGGAGGCGCTCTATCATCTTCGTCGGAGCTCTAAAGTAGATTATGGAGGTTGCAAGGAATCTCCCATGACTGCATGGAAAATCAGGTGAGAAATATGTAAGACATGAGCTGATGGAGTTTGCCGCATGCCGAGGAGCCAAGGAGGATTGTGGTGTTTTCTCTAACCACATTGGTCTGAGAGAACTAAGAATTGGAACATTTGCGGTTAGTTTGACGCCACAGGCTGGAGCTGAAGAACAGCCAGCATCACGGTGCTACCAATGCGCACAACAAAGCAAACACACCAGTCTTCTTTGTTTTTCTTTCACAATCCGCAAAACCCAATCTCATGGGAGCTACTGGTGCCAAGTGTTGAGTCTTTAGACCACGGGCCTTCTGAAAGCTAGCGCAAGCACTCCATGAACACCTGACTTGAGAAGCTTGGCATCTCAGTCCACATGGAAAACTGGATAGGATGAACGACAAGTGGTTAAGGGGCCAGTAGCTGAGCCATACTATCGCTTATGCTGTCCCCTACTATTAATTAGCGAAAATACCCTTGTATTTTCCATAGTAGGGATCAGCTTCTTTCATAAGCTCGACCTTAAGATACCATAGATACTTATTTTTACTAAAGCAACACTACCCCTCTCTTCTTTCGTCCTCCTCCGTTCCCGACTTCCACCCTACGGCACGCCAGGCATACTCCTAGCATATGCCGAGCATATGAAACCCATTTACTTAGCATATGCTTGCTAACCCTGACCCATAGGGCCTTTAGCTCTAATATAACACAATGCAGAGGCTCTCACCACCCCTAACCCCTCGGGACTAACCCGATCCTTCCCAGCCCGTGCATATACAGAGCAAAAGGAGAGCATATACTGAACCATGGTAGGGATAGCTTAAGCGATAATAGGGATTAGCTAAATAAACGAGCATATACAGAGTGTGATAGTAGAGGACAGCTCAAGCGATAGTAGGAACAACTAAAACCTCGTGGTTAAGACACAATATTCCCTTCAAACACGCCAGAGAAGTGTAAAATTTCAAAAGCTCCGTGGCAACCAAACACAAAATTAACTCTCAATCGTTCCCTTAGATTGAATTAGGATGCACAACCACAGGCAAAACCGCACTCCCATCCCTATAACTGGCCAACCCCTCCTCAATGCCCTCCAAGGTCAGACCTTCAACCACTCGAACCTTTCCCACTTTCAAACCCCCCTCTTTCACCCAAATTGGCAACGCCTCCCAAAACGCCTTTGTATGCGGCTGTATAAAGTCCGCATTACCCACGATAAACTGCACTCTGGCACTCGGTCTCATCTCCTTGGCCAGCTCTATTGCTTTCTCAGCAGGGTGCAGCGTCAACAAGACACCCTTCTTTGTCTTCGATAGCAACGAGATCGCAAAATCATAGTCCCACGACACACAGTCGTAAATGTATTCCACGCCTTCTTGCCCCGTGATATCCTTGACCTCTGCTCGAATATCCTCAGGCAATGCATGGCGATCAATGATATTGGTAGCTCCTAGTGCTTTCAATTCTTCTGTTCTCCCGACAGAGGCAATGGCGATCACCGTCCCAATACCGGCAAGCTTCGCGTACTGAATTGCTAACTTGCCTACTGCCGAACCACCACCAATCACCAACACTGTCAACTCTTTTGCGTCGAATTCCTCTTTGGAGGGTGGGAATGGAGGAGGTGCAGGAAACCCAAACCCCTTCACATCAAACAGCGCCGCGAAGCTAGTGGTGGCATTCACCGGAAATGTGACCATGTCACCGGGTGTACATCCCTGAGGAATTTTGGCGCAGGACTCGGTGGAGAGGAGAGCGTATTGTTGCAATCCTGACATTTCCGGTGTTGGGTAGAAGGGGGAACCGAGCCCGAAGACGACATCGCCTATTTTGAATGGGGAAGGAGAGGCGGGGAGAGAGGTGACTGTTCCGGCGATGTTGGTTCCTAGAATGAAAGGGAGGCGGTCTGCGATGAAAAGGCCGAGGTCGTGGCCGTAGGTGTCATGGGGCGCGACTTGTTGTGTTGTTAGCTGGGGGTGTAGGAGAAAGGGAGAGGAGAGAAAGAGGACTCGCGCATAGTTGAGAGGACTTTGATTTGAACTTGGCCATCCGCTGGCTCTGGGATAGCTCGACTTCCGAGAGTGAGAGACTTCCCTATTTCGGTGACTAAGACTGCTTGTTGCATTTTGAGGGGGTTGAACGAGGAAAACTGGGATTTGTTATTCTGGCCTGCTATATTTTCAGGATGAAGGAAAAGAGTCCCGTTTTGGGTGGCCGTCGTGGAAAGATTACTTGGTAAATTAGTCCAGTTGAGCCAAATTCCGATTTTATCTTTCTCGAGAGGCTGAATCGATATTTGGGTCGTATTGTCAACCGCTTCTCTTGACTTTATACCCCAGGTCCAAAACCTCCTCCTTAATCATTTTCATGAATAAGCGGTTCCAGAGCAATTCCAACGCTATTACCGAATTTCCTCTTACGGGTAATGCGCCTCAAACTTTGTGTAACAAATGACGAGCATACAGGGGCTCGATTCCAAATGGTTGCGTTAGCGGACCTCGTGCGCGAACCAGGGGGATTGCTGTTCCCGCATCGAGATGACTAACGGCCCTGCAGTTCTTTAATCCAGTTATTGGCTGCCCCGAAGCAGCCTCCTGTAATGGAATGACCAGTCGAACACATTTTCTTTGCATTTATTGTTATGAACTAAAATAATGTTTCTTGCAAGTATTCGGTGCGCCCATGGAGTTTCTCGTTTACCTCGTTAACTGGTTTCAAGTTTCGAGAGTCTGAGACCTAGACCACCTCAAAAGTTCAACGCTTCCTCGATGTTCAAGCCATCCCTACTTAGCCGGGCAGCCCATATGATCTTCCTCATATTATGACTTCATAAAGGACCACTTTTTATTTAAAGCTTAGATTTTTGTTACAGTTTTGAGAGTCCCTGATACTCTACAAAAGACGTCGATTCCGTATCAAAACTATTTCAACCCGCCCTCTTGGTAGCCAACTGGACTATCTCAAACGTCAGACCACACAATGACCACGTTGATACTCTCTTCTCTTGTTCTGGAGTAGTGCGAAAACGTGGGTCATGCTATATAAATCCATACATCGTACGAAGGATGCCGCATAAAGTGACGGGATTACAAGGCATTTTGTCGCTTTCGGGGCTCTTAGGGCACAGTAACATGTAATTTGAGCCGTCAAGCCCGCTACTGAATAAAACCTGCAACTTTAGGCCTTGTGCCCTGAACCCAAGATGTGAGACATGGACATAGTTTTTGAAGATAGTCAAGGGTTATAGCGCTGCTAGCGGAATAACTACAGAGCTCGGACGCTGTAATAGGCGCAGTTATAGGGCTCCTTAGCGAACCTGCCCCTGTAAGTATAGTGGATCTGTCTGATAAGGTACCCTATCCTTGTAGCTTATATAAGGTACTTTCAGGGCAATGGCCTGAAATATAGGGGTGTTTAGTGGTCAACTGTCATAGAAACGGAGCAAATAGCGGACTGGGAGCACAAATGTCCTGCAATCGTGCTTAAGGTTATTTAATTATTATTTGAGTTAGGGAGATTATACTAGAAAGGAATAATTACATACTAAAATAGCTAGCCATAGCCCCAAGCTACCTTAGCCGGACCACCTTTATACGACTTCAGGCTTCTCCGCCTCAGGGGAAAGCACAAAGGACCCCCCTTCTGGATCTTAATTCTGGCATACTCCTCTAACCTATATAGTTTAATATCTAGGGAAAGTTCTGGCCATAAACGCTAATGCTTAAAGAAAGAGGAATAGATCTATTCCACCAAAATAATCTATATAACCCTCGAACTATTCTTATATAACCTCTAAGCCTCGCATTATGCCTCCTAAGTCTAGTTCTCAAGTCCTTATTTTATCAAGAATTATATGCCTCTCAAAGCCAGACCTATACTAGTAAAGTACTAAACCCAAAAGAATATAAGAATATATCCCAAATATCTTCTTACTCTTACGGACAGTAATTAGTATTCGCTGTGGCCGGTAGCCTTTATAGAACAAGCGGAATAAGGACCCGATATACTGGCAAAGTCGAAGTCAAAGAGAATTGTATAGGCGATTAAGGTCGACGTTAATTAATAAGAGAGACACGGTATCTTGTCGAGGGGAGGAGTCGGCGAGTTGGAGCGGTAGCGGCAGTAAAGGAGAAGGAGATTCGATTATTGTCACCAGGTCGGGACTCAATCCTAGCCCTGTACTCTCCAAAGAGACTGTAATCGATGGACCAACTACTACAGGTTACCAGGCCGCACCACGAGGAGGCGTTGAGTCGTCGCGGTCCCAAATGTCCTGTAATCCCGTCGCTTTATGCTGCGATCTGCATAGATTTTATCATACAGCGCCATCGATGTGAATGTCTTTCAATTTACACACTTTTCCCCCCCAGTAATTTCTCGTATCTTACTGTCTGTGGTTTTATATTCGTAATGCCATTTGTTCATTAGTGTTGGTCCGGAGGTCTCCTGCCAAGCTGGAATGAAAGTAATGAGGGAGTCGGCCTCCACTAGTCGCCAAGTTTGGTAGAGTGCAGGCGCGGTCGAAGTTGATTTGTGGCAATGCCCAGTTGAGTAATAGACAAGCCAAAAGGATTGGCTTCTGTCGGGTTCTTTGGAAAGTATGGCGTCGTGGCGCTGGATTCGGCCACTCACCTGCGAACCGATTATCTCACTTTGAACTGAAACATCGGCAGCTGCGCAAGTCATGTGGTCATCGGTGCCTAGCAGCCTCGTCTGTTGACCCTTCACTCTTCTTCCAGCTTTCCAAACTTCCATCCCCGGATAAGCTGGTAACTATACATTCACCCTTCGACCTTCTTTTAAATTGCTAGTGGGGCGATCTCGAAATATCAAGGATTTGATATGGAGGCCACGGCAGGAGGAACTGCCAGAACAAGTATGATCATCTGCGATACGTGCAGCCGTATCAACATCGAATCACTCTCATCACCAGAGGGCCATCCTCATTTCTATAAAAAGCCGGATTATTCGCCGCAGGCGTGCCTTCTATGCCACGAGCTATTCACCCTTGGATTCGTGAAAAGCATGCAAGACAAGCCCGTTCGAATCAAATTATCTCGAAAGTCATCCTCTATGGGGTCCGCCACCATGTATCTCCGTGTTGAATCTGGAACGCATATTAAAACGCCCTTTGTTCCAGTAATTACACAAGAAGGTAGATCGCTGTAGCTTGTCGTCTTGCACATTATGCTAAGCTTTCTTTAAGGGGATCCAGCAGCCGTTCAATATGGTGTACCTACTTTCAGACCCGTGACTTCTAGCGGATCTCAAGGAACTCTATCGATTGCCAGCAGTTGGTTGAAACATTGCGTCGAGAAACATGACTGCCACAAAAGCCTTTTTGTCCCACGGGGAAAGAAATGTCCGGATTCGGACCTTTCCGAGGTAGTTGACGAGAGAAGCACTATTTTTCCAACTCGTCTTCTTGACTTACAGGCCTTCAACGGGGGCTCTTTAGACATACGACTAGTAGAAAAACCGGCTTCTGGCAGTCTGTACGCAACACTTAGTCACTGCTGGGGTGTCAATTGTGATGCTAGGTATCAAGCAACCAAATCCACTCTCCCGGCTCTCAGACACAGAATGGGATACGCAGAGCTTCCTAAGACCTACCGTGATGCCATATCAGTTTGCCGTTCACTTGGTATTCGATATGTCTGGATTGACAGTTTGTGCATCATACAAGATTCAAAGGAAGACTGGGCTAGCGAAGCCGCCAAGATGGCCGACGTTTACAGCAACTCTCATCTAACCATCTCAGCTGACTGGAGCACCAATTCGGAAGGTGGCTGCTTTCGATTAATCGATCGGCCGCAAGGAATTCATCCGGAGCATGCGATTCGTATCAGCAGTGTACTTTCTAATGGAGAACGAAGCTGTTTGCACTTTTACCGTTACTGTTCGACTCCCCCGGGGCTCTTCAACTATACTCATCTGGCCAGCCGGGCTTGGGCCTACCAGGAGAGAATTCTCTCTCGGCGCAACCTCCATTTCACACAACACCAGCTCTTTTGGGAATGCAGGAAGGGATTTGCCAGCGAAGACATGGTGCCCGACTGTTCTGAACCCTCCCCCTTGACACCGTCTTATCTTCTCAATATAAGGGCCACAAAGAGTGCAGAACAACATCTCCAGAGTTGGTGTTACCAGATTATCAGCCACTACTCTGATGCCAAGATAACATTCCCAACCGACAGGCTCCCTGCTGTATCAGCCTTGGCAAAACATTTCGCAGATGAGTTGTGCTCTCCGTACCTAGCAGGCCTTTGGCTCGAAGGCCTTTGGTATACATTAAGCTGGTACAGGAGGGAACGACAGAGTACAGAAAGGCCTAAGAACTATATTGCGCCATCTTGGTCTTGGGCCGCCATCAACGCTGGGGTATTTTGGCTTATGGTGCCTAGTGGAGACATCGTCAAGCGTGTTGAGATTATAGATGCAATGGTAGATCTTGTCGGTGACCCGTTTGGTCAAGTTTCCCATGGATGGATTCGCGTTACAGGACTACTCGTTGAAAATGTATCCCCATTAACAAAGTTCCCAAAAGCGGTTTTAGATCTCATTCTTCCAGATTACCCACTGGAGCCTCCACCTGAAAAAGTTCACTGTCTTCTTCTTGGCGAAAGAACCTTTCCTTATATTAGGAATTATTACCTTCTTTTAGTAATCAGTTCCAAAGATTTGAATGTATATGAGCGATATGGCATGGGAACGACAGAGTTTGGCACGTTTGAACATTGGCAAGAAAAGACAATTACAATTATTTAAATCTGCTTTCTGAAGAACAGATTTCAAAATTTCACATCTCTTGCTTTAACATTTTTGTTTAGTCCTTCTACAGTATTATCTAATGCAGGAGTTGAATATATAACGTTCAAGAGAAAGGATATACGAATTTTCTTCTGTTTTATAGTTTATTATCCTGGTATTGCGGAATTGTGCTTATTAGGAGTGAGGCGCCTTCGGCCGAGGCCGACGAGAGACTGCAGGGGCTAGGATAGAAGCTATTATATTTCAGGGTTCAAGAAAAGTTTAAATAGCTGACAGGAGACCAGGACTAAAAACTAGTATATAAATAGTTGGGAAAAATTATTACGAATAGGAGTACCGCTCTTAACTCGAGGTCTCATAACCAAGGCTTAATAACTGGATGGAAACCAGGGTTATTCCGGGTTAGAGCTTTATGGCTTCCGTTATCTACTTTTATAGATATAACTATCTGTCCCGAAATCAGATAGGGTATATTAAATCTTAGTTACTCTAACGAGTTTAGGGCCGCTTTACTAAAATTATTAATTAGCGGCCTTATATAAGCTCTGGAGCCAATTAATAATTTTGCCCTAAACTCGTCCCAAATAGATTTGGAATTAAAGGAGGCATACTATATAATAAAGGCCCTGGCTAAAGTTATATAACTTAATAAAGGCTTTTAGCTAAGTATATAAATCAGATACGGACTCTTTATAAACTCTTTATAAATAATATAAAAAGTGAAATAGCCTATAAATATATAAAATTACCTATAAATAAATCAAAAACTAAGTAAAACTTTATAATATTTCTGAATATATTATATTAGGAAATAAAAGAATATAAAGCCCTATTTATAAGATAACCCGTAAGGCTACTATATAAAACTAGTTATAAAAAAAGACTAGTAATTATAAATCTATTTCTATTACCTTAAATAACTGGCCTTATAACTTATTAATAGTTATTATAAAGAATAAAGCAAATAGAAACTACTTATAGAAAAGTATAAAAGATAATTACTAATTTATAAACTAGAGCTTAATTTATAGAATTATCTGTAATTAGCTATTAAAATTACTATCTAGTAGCTATACCCGAATCGAGAACCTCCTAAAGCTATAAATTAATATCTGTAATTTGTTATAAAGCCCTTTTTATAGATAGAAATTCCGTAAAAGTATTACAGATATACTAATTTTGAGTTATAGCTTAGAAAGAAGTAGATCTAGTAAATAAATACTTTATAGAATCTCTAGTAATAATTCTATAATCTCAGAATCTGCCTCGTTTATATTAGCTGAATTTACTATAAAATATATCTGTTTCTGGCTAGTAAATATATCTAGAATTATTTAATTAAATTTACAAATCGTATTATTTAGAATTAATAGAATTACTTATTTATTAAAGGCCCGGTTATTATATAGGGCCTATAAGAGTTACTCTTATAAATAGATATAATTAATTAAGTCCGTAATTAATCCGGTATATAGAATAAAAGGCGGGAATATAATCTATTTATTTAGAAACAGGTTATATAAAAGATTACTAATTTAGTTTATAAAATCCTATTTAAATAAGTTATTATAGACCCGTATATTAATTCGTAAAAATAATTAATAAAGCTATAGCTAAATCCGTATCTGCTATAAGTAGGCCTATATTATATTAGTTTACAAATTATATAAAATTATTAATAAGATTTAAATAAAGTTCTTTCCGAGAATTACAGGTATTTCTCTAAAGAAAATATTATTTATTACTAATTATAAATCGACTATTAGCTAGTATATTACCTTAAAGTAGTACTTATATTATATAGGTATTTGGTTTCAGATAATTAGATTTATAGATTATAAAAGAGCCCCGAACTAACTCGTTTTAGTAATTATATTTATAAATAATTTATTAAGCTCAAGTAAAATCCGGAACTAGAAATAAGATATATATTTATTCGAAAAAAAAAGAGCTATAATACTTATTAATATTATATATAGGACTATTTTACCTTAATTATAATAATAATAATAGAGAGTCTTATAAAGAAATATTTTACTAGTATTATTCGGGCCTTATAAATAGAAATAAATAGTCTATAAACCGTTTATAATTACTATTATAATTATCTAAAAGTAAGAATACTAGTTTATATTTAGTTAGGCTTATATTATAGTTACTAGTAATGTTTTATAAATATAATTAATTTATAAATTAGTTATATAATAGCTTATAGTCTAATTAAAGGTATTTTCAGATAAGGTAATATTTATAAATATTTACTAGAAATCTATAAAGCTAAAATCAAGTAAAAAGAAGTTATAATTATAGTAAAAATTAATTAAAAATAACGGGAAATTAATTAATAAATTATAGGCTAGTTTATAGATTAGGTTATTATAGAAATACTTTTTATACTAGTTTTAGATTACTTATATATTTATAATTAGTTATTAGTAAATACCTATAAAAAAGAATATTTATAAATTATAACTAGTTATTAATAAAATAATTTTATTAAAATATTAGAACTATTTTTAATTATTTTCTATTAAGCTATAAATAATATAAATAATATAATATATGAAATAATAGAAATTTTTAATTAAATAGAGTTTATTAAAGAATTATAAACTATATATAATTATTAATAAAAGCCGTAAATAGAACTACTTATTTAAAACTGGGCTATAATAATAAATATAGCTAATATTATATTTTTATTTATAGTATTTCTATATCCGGATTTTAATAATTTATATAAAGTATTATAAAAACTTATAATATAAATATTAGTAACTATTCTTATATATTATATTATATTTAAAAAAGGCTATTAAAGTTAAATAAATATTTACGGCTTTATTTATAACTTATTTAAATAAAAGATTAGCTATAAAATAAACTATATATTATTTAAGAAAATAAATTATAAGATATTAAATTAGAGAGAATTTCTAATATATTAAATACTCGAATAGATATTAGAAAGCTTTTATAAAACTTATATACCGAGCCTAGAAATATTAGATAATTTTATTATCTATTTTCGAAATAGTAATAGTTATATAATTTATTTCTTTATAAATATATTTATAGATATATTTAATTATTTATATAAATATATAAATCTTAATATTAATATATAAGTGAAATTTCTAGAGGAAATACGAGTTATATAAAATAATTTAGTAATTATTATAGATAATTTTCTAATCTAGAAAGCCTAGTTTATAGATTATAAATATATAACTATTATTTTAGTATTAGTATTCGGGATATTTATTCTTATAAATAATTATTATAATTATAAATACTTTAGAAAACTTCTTCTAGTATATAAATAGAGCTATAAGTATTTTATAAACTATATATAGGGCTTTCGGATTATTATTAAGGCTATATAGCCTATAAAATATCTGGCTAGTTATTATAACTATAAGTTTATTTATAGAATTCTATAACGGGTCTAGAAGCTTAATATAAATAATTTTATTAACTAAATTAGAAATTAAGAAAACGGTATTTTTTCTAAAAAAAAAAAAGTAAATATATATATAAGAAGCTATATTTCTAATATTTAATTATATAAATATAGCCCGTATATTATCTAAAAAAGTAATTCTTGAAATCTATAAAAAGCTTTTATATCTTTAGAATAAAAATCTAATAAAAGAAATCCGGATAATTAATTACTTATTATTTATTTAAGAAGTAATCTATAATCTCAGGCCAATATAAGTTAGCTATAAAAGTAATAAAAAAGCTTAGCTTATTAAAATATTATATAATAGCTATTAAGTTTTAAAAAAGCTATTATATAAAGTAATTATTATTTATAAAGCTTAATAAAAGAATAAAAGAATAGCTAATATTACTTATATAAATATTCTTATAAATTAAAGTATTTATAAAACCTATATATATATATTAATATAAATATTCTACTAATATAAATAAAGCTAGTCAAGCGAGATTATTTTATAGGTAATATATTATTAAAAGAAGTAACTAGTATAAAAGAATAAGAAAAAAACCAAATAAATATAGAAATAATACTAGTAAAAAATCTATTATTTTAGTTATATTTACTAATGAATCCTATTATAGTTCTATAACTGCAAATTATAGTATTAGCCCGGATTATTATATAAAAAAAGTAAAATATAATAGAGTAATTTATATATTATATATATAATATTAATTATATATATTTATAAATATTTATAACCTGTCTTATAGATTATAAATACCAGATTATAGCGGCTTATATCTATATATTTATTCGGAATAAGGGCTATAATTTTATTATTTATTAGAAGGTTCTTATAATAATAATTAGTATCTAATTCGAGAATTAAATATATTTATAAATTAAATAAAATCCAGAAATCGGTTTATTAGCTTGCAAAATACTTGCAGGCTATTTTATAAATTATAATAAATGAATTATAATTTATAAGTATATTTATAAGCTATAAAAGAATTATATAATCTAAGTAAAAGAAATTAATAGCTTATATATTAGTTATAAAAAGCGGATTATAAAAAAAGAGCTATATAAAAAAGGATTTAGTATATAAAGCGGGCTATAGCAGGCCTTGAAAATAGAAAAGCTTATTATAGATCTAAAAGTACTAGATTCTATAGAAGAAATCGATTTATATATTCTTTTTATATTTAATTAATATAAAAGTAAAAATATAATTATATATTTGGATATTTATCCGAAAGGCCTAATAGAGCAGATTATTATTTATAAAGAAATAAAAGAGATATAGAAAAGACTTGCGAATTAAAGGAAGTATTATATTGCCTTTTTTATAATAGGTCTTAAAATAATTATTTATATAACTAAAATAGAGAATTCTATAAGTTATATAGTAATTCGTAAACAGACTAGTTATATATATAGGAGCTAGCCGGAAATATAAGAGAAAGCCAGGAGGCCGTATAATAGATAGATTTATAAGAGGGTTTTCCAAGATATTAACTAGGGCTATAATAGGTAATTAATG